AGTTCTTGGCACCTGGCAATCCCTTAGGAAGGGTATGTTAAGAAAATCTTGAAGGAGTCCTCTAAAATCTATTACTTGATAATTCACCTGTGGATTATATCATGTTATTTTCTCTTTACTAAGAGCTTCAGGCATTTCACCAAACATACATATCAGTGATTAATGTGGATACTTGTACAAAAGCCTTTTTTTAAGGAAAGCCCAGAAGCTTTGCTTATATTTGTTTCACAGTGCCTTTGTTTTGCTGTTTAGCAGCAAACCTTTACTCTGAAAAAAATCTTTGCTTAGATAATAGACTCAGAAGATTAAAATCCAAATTACTAGAGAATCATAGCCCTAGACAGACTCAAAGAAACAATATCGTTTCTGAGACACATTGACGTTGAGCAGAAACGTGCCTGGCCCAGCCCATCTGAGTTTCAGTGTTCATGCCATTTTTAAGCAGTGGTACTTCACACAAGGTAGCCCACCTATCTTCTTGAGCCTCAGCTTTCTCACCCATGAGATAGGATTACATATTATACACAGCCATTGTATAGACACTTGAGATTGTATACATGTGAAACCAAGCACCTTGAAAAGGGTCATGCAAATATAAGGAATCATTATGCCCCAGTAAATTATGCCACTGATGCTGTTCACATTTCTGCTTTCGAAGAAATAAAAAACAAACTAATGCAAATCATCCCCTTCCAACACCCCAGCACCACACATTTTCTATCGTGTTTTATTATCCATATACTGTGCTAAAAGTTGTGTATTAAAAACCAAGTTGGACACAGTTGTTAATTTTTCTTAGGACTACTGGGACAGAGAAATTAGGGGGTAATCTCTGTTTATCAGAGTGAGAATAGTACTAAAATCCTACTTACAGGACTTGAACACTCAACACCCTAGGCTGTGAGAGAGAACTCTTAACTCTCCTTTGCTGTGAGAGAGAACTCTTAACTGAGGAGCCTTGTGTATAACACAGGCTTTGGCCCTTATGTATAACACAGGCGTTAAGTATTATGCACTGGGGGAGGCAGTTTTGTAGCCAAAATAAAGTTCAGAAACACTCTGAGAAATTATCTGTTGGGGCCTTTCCTCATAAGAAATGCCGGGAATCCACAATTGGCATTATATACAAGAATTAGAATCTAAAAGAAAAGAGCCTTTCCAATTTTGTTATTTCAGAAACAGTATGGCAAGCAAATAGGAAGGAGTATTTGGAGAATAAAAGAATGATACATTTTTCTCAATCTGTAAAATACGGACAAGGTAAGCACTTTGAAATTAGACTACTTCTTGAAATGTAAGTGCTATGGATAGAATCTAAATTTCTGGCTTACATTTTTAAAGGAGAGACTTGCTTTCTTGCTACCTTTGTGTTGAAAGGGAGGCAGACATTAGGCTCAGACAATGATAAATTATGTCCATTCTCTAAGGGTCCACCAGAAGTCTAAAAACAGGAATTAATCTAGTTTTCTTCAATAATTGTTTGGCTTAATTAAAACAGGTAGCACCAATACTAGAGGTAATATTTTATACTTTTCTAGCACTTTCTATATGGGAAGTAATGTTTGGTTGGGGAAAAAAATGCATGAAATTTAGAGTCAGGTGGCACCGTATTTTGGGCTCAAGCTCTCCTTCTATTGCAAGCTTGGCTGGAAAAGAGGTATAGGTCACGTTCCCATCTCATTTTCAATTTTGTTACCTGAACTAAGATAATCCCCTTCCTCAGAGGCAGGTTGGGAGATTCAAAGAGAACCTCTTTGTTCCAATGGTCTAAAAGCAGTTAAGTTCTATTTAGCATAAAATGCAGGTTATCTCCCTTTAAATTCAAGCCCATTCATTGTACGGAAGGAAATCCAAAGTTATGAAAGGTTAGCAGACTCGCCTAAGGATGCCAAGTGAATGTTATAGCCAAATCTCTGTCTCTCCAGCCATAATGATACTGCCACGAATATATTCCTTTAATATACACAAATATATTAAGATAAACTCCCACCTTTCATTCCAGTCTCATAGCTCTCCCATCCACCTTGCTCCATTCCAGGGAGAACTTTCTAAAGCTAATTAGATCACTCCCCTGCTAAAAATTCCTACTATGGTTTCTATTGCCTGGTTGTTCCTAAGTGAGAACATGCAGATATGTCCCCTGTGGTCTATGAAGTTCTTGAAATTATAAGTAAATTTTGTGTGCATTTTTATGGATGCCGTTTTTATTTTGTCAAAGGGAGTTTAGTTCATCAGATTGTGAGAGTTGTCCAAGGTGTCCCCCAAAGCCTAGAGCCCTGGTTCGTAGAGAAGCCCTAACCATCTCCACACAGCATGGCAGTGATTAGCTGGCTTTGCCTGTCTTTCTATTCCTCCAGACTTGAACACTGAACCACTTGTAATTTTCTCTACTCACACCAAACTGCTTCTCAACTCTGACCTTTTGCTGCTCTCAGAGTCTTCCACTTACCTGGGTAGAAGCCTGCTCCAGGAGTTCGGCAGTATCCAGCATATCTTTATCATATGAAATCATCATGTAAAAAAAAAGTTATATTTCATGAATTACAAAAGTAGAACTACATACTGTACAATAAAAAACAAATTTAGAAAGTGAAGGCTCCCTAGGATCCCATGCCCCTGAGATAATCTCCTTTAACATTTTAGTATATGTCTTTTCAAACTTTTTTCCTATGTCTATACAAATCTATAAATAATTAAACTGTACTTATTTTTACCAAATGAGACCATCACTTAGATATCCTGTTCTGCAACTGGATTTGTTAATGTGTCATCACATCTTGGTCATCTTTGTACACTGTACTTAGAGATTTACAATGTATATACATATCATTGTCTATGTAGGTGATTCCTTTGATAGTTGCATTGTTACATTTTGTTCCTCCTCTCCAATACAGTTCCTGTGACTAGTCCTGGTCATATAACTTTATGTACTTATATGAGTATTTCCTAGAAGTGGATACCATGTATATAATTTAAAGTTTAATAGTACTGGCAAAATCACTCATCCAATGTTCATGTCTATGTAAATGCCCACCAATAATATACTGTGCTTTTTATACTTAATCATTTTTTTCATATTTCCTATCCCCACTAGACTCCATCCTCTCAGAGGCAAAGACTGTGTCCAGTACATTTTTGTGTCCTTCTCTAGTGCTTTGCTTGCAGAGGTTATACAAAATAGACACTGTAAGAACAAGTGACTAAACTAATAAGCAGAAGAATAAATGAATAATTCAATAGCACCCTTAATCTCCATCCCAACCCTATACTGCAGGTGATGTTTACAGTTTAGAGGAGGCCCTAAGTTTAACCTTTAATGTTTATTGGACGAATGAGTAAGTCTAAGATGGGGTTTTGTCCTGAACTTTACCATTACTACCCCTCTCTGATCTTTCTGGGTCTCAACTTCCCTATTTTACAAGGAGGAAATTAATATAAGGATTCTTCAGATCTGCACATATAGCTTAAATTCTTGTTTTGTATCTTGACCATATGCCATAGTTTATTCACTGCTTTCCAATCTCTAAACCAAATTGTTCAATAACAAAGTAACATCTCAGAGTAAGGTTACTGACCAACATAAAAGATTCCTGGCCTTTTCAGCCTACTGTGTGTTGTACTCCAAACCCAAAAATGGAAAAGTATTATACAGAAAAGGCCAAATAGGTACCAGTCAGCATTCTAAGCCATATTTAGAAGGTATGCCATGCCTTAGACATCACACAAATCATTAATACCCATCTTGCAGTTGTTGAAATACCTGTTAATAGTAAGAATTATAACATTTATACTTTACAGCATTTTCGCATCCAGGAACTCATTTGGTGAACTAAAGATAATGGGAAAATGAATATGCAGCTTTTAATTTTGTCGAACTGATTCACATAAAATTTCTGAAAAGATAAACTCTTGCCCAACTATTTTAAGGATACTTAAACATCAAAGCAAGGACATTTTCAATTGACCACCCATTAGCCATACTGGATATCATCATCATTTCTAAACTTTTAATGTTAGTATTTTTAGTTTATAACACTGATGAAGGATATCGGGGTGTGATATTGGACATTTTCAAAGTTATAGGCAAAAGGAAATATGATAAATTCCCTCCATAGCACAAAGCTACTTTACATCTGGTATCTGAGCTTTCTTCTTTCTCTACACACCATGGGTTCTTCATTATCTTAAGTACTATCTCAACCGATACTTGATTCTCTCACATTGATTTACTTCTGGCGTACTCACCTATTAAACATCCACCCAATGTCAATGCTACTTATCCTCATTTGAAATCTTGCTTTATGCTGTGCTGGGGGGAAAAAAATTACTCAACTTCCTTAACTGGAACGAAAGAACTGGAACCAAAAGGTTCACTTTCTGGACCCTAGTATCTGATAAGACTCATCTCATTTCCTATCTCAAACTTTGGATGTAGTCCCAGAAATCCACAACTGCCAGGATCTCCTTATGCTACCTGACGTTTTTCACCTGAATGTGAGAAACTTTGACCTGCATGTTTCCACTTCTGTAGCTGAATAAGTACTAGTCTGCTCTGCTGCCTCTCTGGAGGTCCTTCTGTATACCCTGACTATGCACTTTCTACACCCTTTTTTCCCTTTAGTTATTAATATGCCCATATCTCCCACTTGACTGTAAGGTCTATAAAGAAGAAACATTCATTTTTTAAAAAATCTTTTTTATAAATATACAACGGTATATAGTGATTGCTTAGCAATTGTTGGACAAAATAGATTCCAACTGTTGTAAATAGGGATTTCTAAAGATGGATAGATGACTCATCTAGATAAGGCAAGCAAATAAAGAGATATGTCCAAGTTAGCCACTGTATAAGTGATAAAACTTAATTCTAAAACCCAAGTCTCCTTATAGCCACGTCCAGTGTTTTTTCCTCTCCAATGCAAAACACTACTTGTTCAGATTGATTGCTTGGTTGATGATTTAGGTTGCAATTAAAGGACAGTGTGTTTTCTGCATTTCAGGGTGGACACCCAGGGTCAATGGGGCCTTCATCTGTTCCCCCTTCATTCCGTCCAGAAGATGAGCTCGAGCACCTGACCAAAAAGATGCTGTATGACATGGAAAATCCACCTGCTGATGAATACTTTGGTGAGTAGAGTCTAGAGCTGACTTCTAGAGTAAATGTCCTATACTGATTTCCTCACTTAACAATTAGGAGTATTATCAGCTCTACTGGTAAAGTATTTGAGTCTGCATGCTTGAGAATTGGTATGCAATTGTACACAACTCAGTGTGGGGATTGCATTGGGAGATTGCCATAAATGTGATATCAACTGAGCTTGTACAAAGATCTCAGTAGTCCTTAGACTTTCTTGAGATACAAATTTGATTTTAAGATAAGATATTTAAGATAATTTATTATCTTCCCATTAGCCAGAAATAGGGTTATTGTATATGTTCAGGTTTCTCACTGGTCTAAAGATTCATGTAAAAAGTATAGAATTGGGCATTGTTTAAATTATTTACTCTGAATCTTTTTTCTGAGTTCAGGAACTGATATTCCTTCTAGTCCATTAGTATAAGGCAAAGTTATGAATTATATGCTGTGGGTACATACCCTGCTCTCAGTAAGGTTGTAATTATTCAAAAGATATAAGACAGATACACAAATATTAATAATTACTAGCCTAGGTAGAAGTGATAAGAGGCCTAACAAGGCTTAGGTCAAATGTTGTAAATAGTAAAAGCTCTATTTATCAGGAACATCAGGAATACTTTATAAAAGTATTGGTGGCACTTGAACTTAAACCCTTTAAACCAGAGCCTTTCAAATTTTCTGTAGTGAAAGACAATTTTCTTCCCAATCTTTTGGAAACCAATATTTTTGCACAGTACCATTAAAATTAATTACTAGGAAAATAAAAGACAAAAAAATGGAAGACCAAGTTTTGTCATTATTAGATTTAACATATAACAAATTACTCTTTTAAATTGATACATTAATACTTGTTTCTAAATACTCATTCTCTATTTCTGTACTTGTCACATCACACGGTGGTAGACGATTCTTAGACATCCATGATCTGACCGCTTTTTGAGTAGCACTGCTTTAAGGACATGTAGAGAAAGGACATTTGGGGATCAATATGAGTGAAGGCGCAGAGGTGGAAAGGTTGCACCGGGCTTTTGCCTCTTCAAATATTTCCTATTTTAATGCCTTCTCTTTTGTTTTCTAATAGGGAATATGTAATGATAGCTACACTAAAGGTGCTGGTCCTACACCACACAGTAAATGAAGTGGGAAGTAGTATATGTAAAGAAAACACAGGGTTTATTTATATCCACATGGCAGTGCAGCTTAACTAAGACAGCACAAGGATGGGAATCAAGAAGTCCGGTTCTGGTCTCTTCTGTGCCCCTCACTGTCTGTACAATACTGGCATGCCCCTCATCTGCCTGAGTTCCATTTCCCACCTTGGTAAATCAAAGGTGCAAAGCAAAGGTCTCTAGCATTCCTTGCAACACTGGCTAATTCAATATAAAAACAGCATTAATCCAAAGAATTATAACGATAAAGCTAAACATAAATTGATGCATATTAACACAAATGCATGGAGAATAGTAAAACAAAACAAAAACAAAAATTCACAAAGGTCTCTAGTTATATTAAAATATACTAAAAGTATATCGTGCTCTTATCGTTACAACTGGAAAAGGTTTTAAAATGGGATGTAAGATAAACTTTTTTTAAAAAAAGCATGTTAAGAGTCAAAAATAAGGTCTCTGTATTAGGATAGGTTAAAAATGAAAAGCTAACTAATGTATACATTCTGCAAATATTATAGCAACAAATATATAGCAATAAAGATAATTAAACATAGATGGTAATTGTTTTAATAAATATATATTGGGTGCTCTGGGAAACATGAATTATTATCTTTGCCTTCAAGAACTGTCCTAGCTCTACTACTTGCTAGCTTAGAAAACTTGAACAAATTACTTACTCTCTTAAACCTTCATTTTTGTTTTGTCTTATCTATATTATGAAAATAATAACTAGCTAATACTATTATTGTGAGAAATAAATGAAATATTTATAGGAAGCACTTAGCTAGGTTCTTGGCATGTAGAATATACTCAGTATTCAAAGTTCTCCCTTGCTCTTGGGGCTTATGGTTTATTTAAGAAAATAAGATATGCCCATTAAAAATCCATTAATAATGCTTGATTTAAATTTAAGTTTCTAGCAACAATACAACATATGTCACCAATGGGTAAATAATCATTGCCAAATGAGGATTATACTAACCATTTGAGAAAATTTTGGAAAATGGCTTTTATTGAGTGCTTATGATATGGTAATACTATTTTATGTACTTTACAGGAATTAACTCATTTCTATCTTATAGAAAAACATAACCCTGTGGAGTCAATGCTGTTATCATTACCAGATTAGAAAATTAAGGCACAGAAATGGTTAATTTGCCCAATATCAACAGCTAATAATTTTCAGGACTGAAATAGAATCAAGGTTTATACATTTAAACACCACACTGTAAACGATGAGGAGAGCTAGTTAGGCTACATACTTAGGCAAGGGTTTATGAAGGAGATTAGCTTTGGACAGATCCATCAAGAATGAATATTTCTTCTAAACAGGTAGAATAAACAAAATATAAATTGAGGCCAGGATTATTCAAGAAAAATTTACTTTATGTGAAAAACTTCCAAGTGCCTGTTATGTGCAGCCTAGTCTGCTAGGGTGGCGTTGGGGGCGGACATGAGTCTTACCTTGAACATTCTGATAGTCTAATAGGGGACGTGTACAGAGTTGCGATGTTTTATCTATCACAACACAAACAGAACCTGACAAATTTAAAGTTCAGCCAGTATTCTTTGAGAATTCAGAAAAAGGAGAGAGAACATCCAGAGGCAAGAATGGAAAAACTGTACAGGGAGTAGTTAGCCTTTCAGTAAGTGTTTTAAATTATGCTAATTGAGATTTGGAAGCCGGAAAATAGTAGAAAAGTGAGGCCATTTCCTATGAGAAAAATTGCAACATGACAGGAAATAAACCATTGAAGTGAAATACCATGTGGGAGGTAGGAAATATTGGGAAATAAGTTGGAGAAGTAGATTAGGACCAATCTGGAGAAGACTTTTAATGCGCGGCTGAAGGCTAAGGACTTTATCTTTTAAAATGAGTCTATGCATGTTGAGATCAAATGGCATGGGAACTGCTCCGTGGATAGTGGTTAAAAATATGGGCTCCAAAGCCAGAATATCTTTGTTTGAATGCCAGCTCTACCTCTTACTGGGAAAGTAAAGTCAGGAGACAAAAGAACATGACTGTCATTTACTCTTCCATGCTTTAAACATTTCCCGAGCACCTTCTCTGTGACAGCCACTGTGCTGGGTGTGAGGGACACCAGATGCAGAGGCTCTGCCCTCACAGGGCTCACAGGTTCCTAGGAAAGACAGGAGAGGCACATGTGTAAAGGATTTCAGCGCAGACCTCAACACTGTGCTGAGTCTGATTGAAGCACTGTGTGAGCATAGAAGACAGGGTCCATTAAATCTGCCTGAAAATGAGAAGAAAGATTACATAGCAAGCAGTGTGTTTGCATCAGCAGGGCTTGACCCAAGAGAGATGGATGAAATCCATCAGAATTTTACCTTAGGCTTATTCTGGGCTGAAAATAGCATTGCCAAGCACCACCCTAAAAGAACTTCTTTCTCTTACAGTACCATCCCCAGCCCTGCCTAAACCCCGTCACCTACCCTCTTTTTTTCCATCATGTTGCGTATTCAATGCTGGAATTTTCATTGAAACTATAATTGATTTGCTGAAGGTAATTAAATGCTTCCATGTCAAAGATCTCCTACTAGACTAAATGCTGTACCAGGAAGTGAGAGGAAGCAAATATAAATAGATGATGTCAATAGAGTAAGCTCCCTGTGGTCATGATGCTTTCCTTCCATTCCAACCCCCCCACCTTTTTTCACCTTAAGTAGAAAGATTCTTAAATGTATTGCTACTGTTGTTCTTTCTTTATGAAGCTCCTCATCGTTCTTAACAGTTTTATTTATATTTCATTATAGTTATGGTAGGCTTATAAGTATGGAGAAGGGGGTACCAAAAGATCACCTCACAGATGAGTTAAGTACAAAGGAGAAAAAGATACCTTTACAATGGAGAGAGGTCTGCTGGAAGCCTTCTGAATCCAAGTGATAAAATTTAGCATCCCAATAATGGGAAAAACTTGACATGTGCCAACTTGTAGGGTGTACACAGCATCACCTAGGTAATAATCTTGCTAAAATATTTAACCTCAATCTGACCATAAGGCAATAAGAAGTCCAGATGATGGGACATTCTTCAAGATAACCATCCTGAATTCTTTAAAGTTGTCAGTGTTATAAAATACTATTCTACAGTAAAGGGGATTAAAGAGACATGCCTTTCAAATTCAAGTCATGAGTCTTTATTGAATTCTGCATCAAAAAAATAGCTATAAAGGATTTGGGGAAAGTTAGATAAATCTTACTATGAACTGTATATTAGATAATATACATCACTGTTAATGTCTTCAGTATATTAGTGGTATCATGGGTATGTAGGAAAATATTGTTTTAGAAGCAACATTTTGAACAGTATGGTGAAGTGTGATGTCTACAACTTTAAAACAGTGATAGATGATTGCAACTTTAAAACAGTGATAGATGATTGACAGATGGATTTTAGATAGGTGATTGATAGATACATGGATAATAGATAGATGACTGATAGGTAGATATAGATGAAGAGAGAAAGAGATAATGTTGTAGAGAGGGTAGAATTGCCTCATGTTAAAACAGCCAGAGCTGGTATAACTGCACCAGCTACAAGGACACCCACTCTCCCTGAGAAAGTACTGAAGCCTTCCACAAATCAATTATCTTATGAATTCTTCCTAAGATGGAAAAGGAGAGGGAGTTACATTCCTGCCCTACTAAACTTGACTGTTTCAGTGACGATAGTGGGTCTTTGACATTTCTCATTATTGTATATCTGTTTCCTTATTTTTTTACCAGGCACCTGCTCTTTCTGTTGCTGGTGAGATGAGGACCATTGTGGTAGTGATGGCAAAAGCTGGCATTTACCTAAA